TCTCTCTCTCTCTCTCTCTCTCTCTCTCTCTCTCGCTCTCTCTCATACACACACACACACACACACACGTTCGTCCGTTAAACGCGCACGAAACTCGCGAAACAGCTTTGACTGCCTCAACGCGAGACGGCGCGAGACGGCGAGTGGAAGGAAGCTTTGTCACAAGAAAAAGCACTATAACGTCGCGGAAGAATGTGCCGAGAGAAGTGCCACCTGAGCTAGTTTCGCTCTCTTTACGATCCGACCGCGCCCCCGCGATGAAGTTTGTCGATAAAGAAAAAAAGTTGGAGTCGTTAAAAAAAAAAGAAAAAAAAAGAAAAGGGAAAAACTGCGTCGTATAAAGAGGCGCGCGCGCGCGCGCAATGAGGATCAACGACGGAATTGACCGCGTTCGTATTCGCCGTCGTCGACCTGTTGCGACCGATTTTCCTTGAACCCCGCGGATAGAAGCGCGAGCGCGAATGCCTCAAGTATATAGCGGCTGCTTCTTGGGTGGAATTAATCGCGCCGGTTCGGCGCGATTGCGTTACGCGACCGGAATGACGAAGATCGAGGATCGATCTGTCCGACGGGGCGAAGCCACGCAATTGCCGCATCGTGCAACGTACTTAAATGGTGCGCTGCGGTTGTAGATGTACATACGCGCGCGCGAGCGCGCGCGGCGGACACGTCGCACCGTCGGTCGACTCTGCATGCGTGATAGAACGCGCTTCCCGGCCCCCGATGACACGCACACGTGTGGTTAGCACGCGATGAGCTGCATTGTGAGCGCGCCTAATGATTAGCTACCGCAAGTGGACATATGGCTTCCTCGGTGCTTATACGTTAATACGGCGTGTCGGAGGCGGCGCGCCCGCACGTCGTGCGCTCCGAACCGCGCGTACAGTCTTCCCCGTAGCCCTCCCGCCCTCCACGGAGGGGAAGTAGAGTACGTTTCACCGTCGTATGCACGAAATAGCGGGCGTCCTGCGACGTACATATTAATCCCGCCGTTGCGCAACGCCCGGGACTGTCCGCGCGCGGTTGTCGATGCCCGCGGAACTTGTCGACGGCGTGGCGAGACGTCGGAGGTGGTATGCCTCTCGGCATATATATATAGCCGACCAGCGTTTTTTGTTTCGATTGATTGGACGGACGCTCGCGTTGGCACGGACATGACGAATTTCGCCCGGTGTATCATCGACGAGCGTAGCCGCGAAACCTTTGCAAAATTAAACGGACGCCCCGAGATATGAGTTTCGACTCTCTCAATTGACAGGTCGCCGGTTTTTTCGCCGATGCGATGTTTGCTGGGTTCCTCTATTCTTTTTTTTTTTTTTTTTTTTATCAACACGACGATGAGCGATTCTATCGAACGCGAGCGGCGTGAAACGCGAGATCTATGTGTATACGAGAGAGAAATGGCAATGCCTCTATCTAATATTTCGCGAGTCATTTCCGTTCTCGCGATTATACGACGGTCTTGAGCAAATCCGCTTGCACAGAAATAATTGAAGACCGAACGAAATCGATTCGGCCGTTTACTCGTCCGTTTGGCTGCGCCATGCCGCGATATACCGTGGAGCACTTTTTCAAAGTGTATGTACGATCGTGTTCCGCATTATACTCACAGATGCGAGCGCATCGCGTCGTGTCACCATGCTACCTCGTGTCATGCATATTTTCCCTCTCCCGCATCTCGCATTCTTTTCACATACCTCGGACGTCGTTATCAAGGAGTATCCGGGCCTATCAGTCATTCTATTTGCATGGTACCTCGTATCATCGGAAATTCCATTTCGGTAGCGCTGAGGGAGAGAGAGAGAGAGAGAAAGAGCACA